TGGATATTAATCAGGCTTAGAATTGATATATGTATTTGCAAACAAGACCTGGTAATTTAAAATAGGTTTTACTCTCACCTGACTTCTGAAGAACAATCCTTACCTTTGACAAATATCTTCCATTAGGAATATATTTGGCTTTTTTATTAATGATCCTGGTTGATAAGAATATAAAAAAATCATATTACAGTATGGAAGTTGGGTTTTCTTAACAACTTTAATTACTTACACTTTTCTTTCTTTTGCACGTGAAATCATGAAATCTTACACCAAGATAATTTCAGAATTAACTATCACAACGTTGTCATTCTCTATCCACATCAATTTCAGAATTAAGTAACATGAGATCCTAATTATCCATCTTTATAATTCTCCTTTTTGTGTACCTTTTTCTAACGCTTTGCAATCTATGCAAGGCTAGGGCACTCATTTGGCCCAGACAGCTTATTTATTTACTTTTTTAAAATGATAACAAAGCAGGCCTAGACATGTCTGCTCTGGAGATCTAGTGGTTCAGCAAAATTCGCATAATTGTATCCAGGACAGCAGTTTAAATATGGATGCTTTATAAGCTCATCTCAAGGTCTTACTTGTGTTTAACATGCATCACATGTCACTAGGCCAGGAGTCATTCTTCTCTTTGAAATGGAGAAAATGTGCTTTTTCAGGGTCCTTTTAATATTTGCTGGGTTGAAATGGGGGGAGGGATTTGATTACAATAAGCAAATCTTTGAATAGGTCTTTGATGTGATATAATGTCATAGATTGGATTCCCAGGAGGGTGGTGGTGCATTCCAGGGGAATAAGAGGCAACTTAGTTTAGGTAGTTTATGTGAGAGAAAGAGGGTGAAGACAACCTCTCCCTAATGGTTCTCAGAATATATGTTTGATATCAACAGTAGAGTGCTTCAGTTTGGCAAGATTCTTTCTATAGGTGTGGAATAATAAAGAAATCTGTTTAGAAGAATCACCATGTATCTTTCTTGGTTTTTAGACCTGACATCAATCAGGAAATATAAGGGTATAGTCAGATGACTCTTATTTCTGCTCTCCTCTGCAACCTTCTGGTCAAATTCTAGATATGCATAAAATATAATACTGTAGGTAAAAACTGAGGGTGCATAAGCATTTAGTAGGAATATGTTTATTGGCCTGCTGCATCTATTCAACTGCTAACAAATATCTCTTGAAACAATCTGTAATTTTATAAACTTAGATATATTAACCCAGGGCAGAGACTTCAACCTAATGTTCCCAGATATTATAGTTGATATGATATATAAACTATAATCAACATCTTAGTTATCTTCAGCTTCTGTTTTAACTTCTGTAGACCATTGCCCAGGACCCCAAGGCCAACAATTCAGTCATTGGGTTCTGTTTTGTGATAGGAACCATGAAGAATATCTGAACAGTTACTAAAGTTAGAGGCCACCAACATTTTGAAAGTAAGGGGAGGGGGAAGAAAGATTATAAATATTCAAAGGAATAAACGTAACAGACTAAGAAAAAAAATGGTGGAGCTCAGTAACTCCTACCTCCAGACCTGGGAGCAAAACCATGTTTTTTAAGACTTTTCAAAAATTATCAGGGTGGCAGCCATACAAATTGTTTAATGGTACTGGGATTCCATATTTGGAATAGCTTTCGACATAGCAACAGCAATAGCACTTAGATTTATATACTGCTTCACAGTGCTTTATAGCCCTCTCTAGGCAGTTTATAGAGTCAGCCCCCCCCCAAAAAAATTTGGGTCCTCATTTTACTTACCTCGGAAGGATGGAAACCTTGAGCCAGTGAGACTCAAACTGCTGGCAGCCGGCAGTCAGCAAAACATGAGAGAAACATGGGCTCATCTCTAAATAAGAAAGAAAGAGTTTATATATACTAATTCAAGGGCTAGTATCTTGAAAACTCTAGGCTGGGGCAGTAAAATCAGGATTTGAACTGGTTTCTAGAAAGAAGTAAAAGCAAAGTGTGTAACTTAACCAGAAGAGCTTCTACAGCACAGGATGCATCAGGTTTAACATCTAATATCTAGGATATTAAAATAGTTTCTGCAACTTAAAGAATGAATTGTATATTAAAACTTTAGCAAACAATATTATCAGAAATGATCATTAATGAATGTTTATGAAAGATCTCTTGAGCTCATTTCTGCTCTCTCTTTTTAGCTTTTCTTTTCTTCAGATGAGGCTATTTAAAATGTCATTTTATAAGATTTGCTAAATAAATTAAATGCAAATGAACTCAAGGGAACCATTTTCCATACATTGCTACTGATCTTTATTATTAAATGGGGGCAATGTTCAATGTCATATAAGCAGTTTATTTTTTTTATTTTCTGCTTTTAATAATTATTTTTTTTAAAAAAAGACAATGTACATTTTTTTTCTAGAAGGTGATTTCTCTGTGCAGCTTTTTAAACCTAAACATTTTATGCTTTAGGCATTGATGTATAAAATCAGTTTATATATGTGTCTCACAGCAACTCCAATAAATTGTCAATGTTTCCATTCTTCATTTTAAAGCTCTTTTTTTCACACCTAGAATAAATAGAATGTTACTGTCCGCTGATTTTATTTTATTTAGATAGGCATAATACCATATTACTGACAATTATTCACGGGCAGCCCTAGAAGGCTTGTGCATTGTCTTATGGCTGTTTCCCTCATTAAATTTTCATTTTCACAAGTTATATTGCTCTCTTGAAATGAGTAGAGGCATGCCAGTGAATATTTTGAGCCCAATGCACTTAAGATGCTAACATCTTTGTAGGCAGGGTGCATTCTTGGTAGATGTTTACATGGGCTGTTAGAGTTGTAGCTATTCTAATCTGACAGTAACTGCTGGTGCCAATTGCAACTGTTTCCTCCTGTTTGTTTTATATCACTCGTGAAGAAAATTGGATGGGTTACAGGGAATGCAGGCTGAAGGAACAACCCTTTTTGGAATCAACATGGCTTGGATGATGGATGGATCACTTACAAATATTTATCTATTATTTTTTCTTTTCCTTTATTATTTTTTTCTATTTTAAAAATGTCCTTTCTGTCAATGATCAGGTGGTCATTCTTAGATAGAAAGAAATGGCCAGAGAAAGATGCTATGATAGACACTAGAAAAAGATACATTAAAAAAAAATGGAACAACTATGCCATAAGGAAGCAAAGTTAATACCAATACAATCCCAAAACAGCTGGAGCATCACATGAACATTCTAGACATGGACAAATTTAACTTCAGTCAATTGCAAAAGCCAGCTTTACTTGACACAGCTTACATCTTCAGATGATGCCTTTAACACTATCAAAGAACATCTGCCAATCCCAAGTCCTGGGTGGACAACAATGCCAGATCCAATCTGAACAACTGGCTGACTAGGTGACAAAACAAACAAACCAACAAAAAATACAATAAAAGTACAATATACTATTCCCTGCATCTTGGATATAGCCTGGAAAGATCCAGGGAATAGTTTATTGTATTTTGGATGTAGCCTGGAAGTAATTATTGTAACAAGTAAATTATATCTTTAGCCATCACAATAATTATTAGTGCATTTATAGAATAGTCTCTAGATCTTAACGTGATTTCTAACTGTGGATTTATTGGAATATTAATATTTACTAGAAGGGATTTCACATATACTTTAGTCTTCAAGACAAACACTATTCCAGATACCCAGTGCAACTGTGTCATTGTCCCATATAGTTGAATACTATTTGGAAGGTCACAGCCTTGTCAGATCTGTAGGGCCTTGTGATCAATGCTTTGTAACTGTGCTTCAATGGCTAGAAATATATCACTGACTATTGTGCTTACTCGACCTTCTTTTCTCTTGTGATTTCCTTAGCAGCTCTGAATGCCAATTGGTCAACCAAAACAAAATATACGCAAAACTATAAAAGTTGATTCTATAAACCATGGAGGATTATTTCCAACTCAATATATTTTCACTTTGTCTTCAAAATTAAAGTTGTCTAAATATGTGGGGGGTGGGGTTTCTGTGTTTGAAAAGAAATCTATGACCCAACTGCATACAATATACAAGCTTTGTAAATTAGGTCTCACTTAGAAGCTTAAGTATTTTATATCCTTCTACATCACCAGGCAATCAACTTGAAAGTAGTTATAGCAAGTGTTGACAAACAAAAGGGACAATTCTTACTTTGGTGAGCCTCTTGACAATGATACAGAACTCCAAGAAAAAAAAAATTGATATAACATAAACTGCCAAGTATATTGCATCCTGCAGGTTTTTTTTTACAGAACAGATGCTTTTAAATGTTTTGAGCAACTATTTTTTTAAAAATAATCAATATTAAGCTATTGTTGTTAGAAATGTTTAAACAAATATTGCTCAACATTTTATGAGCTTGGAAAAGTATGTACTAGTAAGTTTTAATAACAAGGAAACCTGTCTAAAAATGCCCATAATATCTCTTTTATGATATAACTGTGGATAGGACGATCTGATACTAAAATAATAATTTTACTTCTAGCACTCAGAACAACACTAATAGAAATTATGCTTCGAAATGTCATTCTTTTTTAAAAATTACTATTTAAAAGTTACTATAATAATTGCAATTCTAGCAGTGGGCATATTATTTAATGTTTTTTTCTCATTCAGAAGTGATGTTTATTTCTAAGATTCTTTAAATAAAATATAATTAAACTTTCATAAACTTTAGTAAATGCCATTTAATTCATGTCTTTCCAATTCACCTAACTTTGATCAAAATCTAGTCTAACTATTTTTATTACTTTTAAAAATAAAAAAAGATAAACAACCTAATTAATTTTTGTAGATATCTAGGTTATTCACAGTCACCGAAGAGTAACTCATACAGGTGAATAGTATATTCATCAGCTTTTTGCAAAAAAGAGTTCAGTGCATTGCTTAATGTGTCAGGCAAAGATAACAGAGTGAGCAACTTATTATGCATCAGAGGCCATAAAAAACTGATAATATATGTATATATATATATATTCCAGGTGGGGATAAAAAGGCATCTGTCTTTCTGGCCTTGACAATCAAATTAAGTAATTGATTGACAGAATGTTGGCACCAGTTTTGGAAGAATCGATCAGCCTCAACTCAAGGTATGGAAGTTTGTGAAATGTGAAGATATATAACAGGATTTCATTTACAGTGTTAATTAGACTTCACTGCCACACAAGAATATATATTAAATGAACAAAATGGAATTAAGAGTCTTTTTAAAATGGAAAGTGGCATCATAAAAACCAAAATTTGTTTTAATGTACCGAAATGCTATTTTGATCAAATCTGTAATTCGACTTTTACTAAATTAAAAAAATTAATTTAGTTTCCACTGGATAAACATAAGCCCTTGATATAAAAACATGATAAATGTTGGTATCTATAGAGTTCTGATTGGATTAGAATTACGTTATGAAACAGTGAATTAAAAAGATAATGTCTAGGAAGACATATTGGCAAAAAAACCAAGCTTCAGATTGTATAAATCCATATTCTCCAATCTGGTTTTCTAGAATGCAATTTTCTTGATTCTTTGCAAGGGAAAACAACAGACTGGAAATAATCATTTAATATATCTGGAAATTCTGAAAATAGTCATTTAACATATCTGGATTTTCCTAGACTTGGTAAGATTGCTTTAAGGTAGAGGAGATATAAAATAAATTCTTCAGGCAGGAGAGATGGATTTCTTTCATCATTCTCAAACATGGAATGGTATCAATAATCGCTTGAAGTCTAGATGTAAATGAAATGTAAGATAATGAATGAAGGAATATAAAGTTTGAAGGGACATTTTAGCCATCAGATCCAGCCCTGCTGAGAACTGAGGTAACTTGTTGATATATGAAGATAGCTGAAGAAATTAATTTCTCAGCCAGCTTGTCAACAATGGTCATCCACACTCCCCATTTGAAGAACGTGTCGCTGTTTGATATACCATTCAATTAGATCTGCATACAATTTGGATGGAAAAGCACCAAAAAATAACAAGGCTGTAGGCTAGACCAATAATAGTCCCTGTTCTGGCTTATCTGCTTCCTTCCAGGATCCAAGGAACCCAGATTATTATCTTTAGTTTTCATAGACTTATATGGATACCCATTAATGTCCCAAGTCTTAGGATTAGGTCAAGTCCTCAGAAAAAAAGATCTCAGGTGGCAAAGTGCTCAGAGGACAGGTGCCATTTTAGAAACGACAGGTTTAAAAAAAACATGGCTTTTTTTTAACTGTAGGGTCTCTGCCAGATTAAATAGGCAGGGTCAGCAGTCCTTCAGGTATCCTGACTCCATGCCATAAGGATCACCTTGGCTGATCTCTAGGTATTCTTGGTTAATGCCAGATGCACACCAGGCCCCATCTATCCATGATTATTGGATAGTGGATGAACTTGCTGATCTGTTTGAGGAAAGAGAGGCATGTTGACCTGTTTAAGATTTTTCCTACCAAATTCCAGATCCTGAAACATAGCTGGGGAAAAGGAATGGCAATAATCTTTATGGACCCTTAGTTCTGAAACTGACCAGCTATGAATGTTTATAGGTTAAGATTTGTTTTATTCTATTTTATTATTCCAATTTCAAGGGTGCTCTTCTCTGGGTAGGTTACAAATTAAAGAAACAAAGCATATAAAGGAAAACATAGTGAACCCCTCCCAAAAAAAACTAAGCTAAATTAGAATGGTCTCTAAAATCCACCCAATCCCAAGATCTGGGAAAACAGCCAAGCTCTTAGTAAATTGTATAATGTCATAAAGTCGGGAGCCAACAAACTAAGTTAAGCATAAAACTCCAGTTGGGACTGCTGTGGGTGTAGTGGTCCTTCAAGAATTCCTGAATGTAATAGCAATGCTGGTGTTGAAGTCCCTTAGCTTTCTGTTGCTAGAGGATTTTAATCCCTATGTCCTGGGTATGGGATAATACAGGTAGTCCTTGACTTACAACCATAATCGAGCCCAAAATTTCTGTTGCTAAGCAAAACAGTTGTTAAGTGAATCTTGCCCCATTTTATGACCTTTCTTTGTTGTTAAGTGAATCACTGTACTGCATTGTTAAGTGAATCGGCCACTGCAACTGTCATAAATATATGCCAGTTGCCAAGCATCTGAATTTTTAACCTGTGACTGAGGGGATGCAACAGTCATAGTGTGAAAACAGTTGTGTCACTTTTTTCAGTGATGTTGTAACTTTGCATGTTCACTAAATGGTAATGAAACAAATGGTTGTAAGTTGAGAACTACCTGTATAGTGCTTGGGCTTGATGGTCTTGGGTCCAGCATATCCAAAGGCTTTTCATTACAAGAGAGTAATTGTACATAGTACTTGAAATGCATTTGTGAATAATATATTGGTGACAATTTAGTGCATGCTTTAGTTAAGCATGAACCATTTACTTTTAATAAAGTAACAAAGAAATAAAAACATGTACTTTTAATAAAGAATGATAACGTTATTAGCAATTTTGAAATCTTTTGAAACGTTGTGATTTTAGAAGTAAACACAAAATTGCATCAACATTTGTATGAATGGACATTTATCTCCCATAGTCCAGCTAACCTTTTGAAACTGACCATTGTCATCAGTTAGGCCATCTTGTTACTATTCTTGGAAGATGTTTCTTGCCATATTTCTCCTTCATATAAGTTTGTAATTGGAATTACACTGAATTGTATTAGTCAGAAATATCATATGCACTCGTTTTAAATTGCTCTAAAACTCCAGGTTAAATGGAGGAAATCTCTGAAGATGGATCAGAGATGCCCAATGTTTCTCAGCTGACTGAGGAATTCTGGGAATTGAAGTCCATATATTGTAAAGTGGCCAAGATTGAGAAACACTGAACCAGTTTATTTCCAGTCCATGTTACTTGCTCGTTATTCATTCCCTAAATCCTTGTAATGCACATACATTCATTTAACCCCACACTTAAATTATTTCAATATATTCAACTACAATACCAAAAGATAAGACTAGATACAAATTGGGAATCATTAATTCTTCCTCTAGATTTGAATTCTAGCCTAGATTTTTTGTAGACTTAATTGATATTGATACATCATAAATAATTATTTACTTCCTGGTAAATGTATATTTGAATCTCACCGCAGTTGCCCAAGCAAGCTAAATTGGAAAACTAGTTATTGGTCTTAAATTTCTAAAAATATCAAGAAAGTTCCTTGAGTATTACAACATTCTAACAAAGAAAAACTCCCCCCCCAATGTATTTCTTCTCTCTTCATTTGTCTAGTAAAGCAAATCAGTTAGTTAAAATAGATTGTCCATGAATTATTGAAACAGCTATTCTAATAGGTAGCCAGTAAAGAACGTTGAAAGCTGATTGGTAAGATTTATTCATTTGTTCCTCACTTTTGGATTGTGGTTGCCTTGTTAAAACACTTTATAAAGAACATTCTGACTGTTAGACAAGTTAAAGCTAGGTAAACTCACCGAGAAACAGTACATCACAGAATTAAATGATATAATTGCAGTTCCATAGGAATATTAGAAATTTTTCATAATGATTGTTTCCAGATGCTATCCATCATACCAGTATTGTGGTAACTTTAATTTTAAAACAGGGTAATTTTACAGTGATAATCAATATAAAGCTAAGATGATAGCACTGCATTTTAAAGTTAAGTATTCCGAACTTTCCAATTTCATTAGAAATATGGATAACAAGGTGATATTAGTTACAAATATATATTTTAAGTTTTGTCCTGAAAACTCGGAAGTTAATATGCGGTACTACTTCAATCTGTTTGCATATATGTGTAAGATTATAGATTGTTTATATTTGCCTGTTCCTCAAATTAAGATGAAAAATACTAGCCAAAAATCAATGCATCCTTTAGAACTGAGTCATTGATTACCACAATCTTGATGTATTCCTACAATTTGTGCTGACATTTGCAAATACCATGATTTAGGGGCACTGTTTTTCCAGTTAACTTAATGTGTAACTTAAAAGAAAAAGAAGAAGAACCTCTGTTTATGCTAAATAGGCATTGGAATCTCTATCTCCAGATATTTATGTTTCACAAAGTCACAGTTATTTAAATATTTATAAAATGAGAGTAGAGAGCAGCACTTTTGAAAAAGCAGTTAATAATGAACCAATATCAAGGGAGCCATCAGTATAACAGCAAAGTGCTTTGCAACTCCAATAACTTCACTTGTGCAGAAGCAGGCCATCAAATTTAATTAAAAGCAGTCAAAAATAAACTGAAAAATTGAACTGTAAAAGCCTATCCTTTGCCAGTAGCTGAAGGCAAAGAAAAAGGGAGCCTTGAAAGCAGTAATGAATTGATAAGCCTTACTGGCTGCAACTTGTAATTTGCCCGGCCAGATTTTAGTATCAGTTAAAGTAGATTAATAGAGCACGTACTGATTCTCTGTCTTAAATCCTTCTTTGTGGTCCTTCTTTTATAAACACCCAGGATAAATGGAAGCCCAAGCAGGTCAAAGTGTCCATTTATCTCCTGCCTTTCTTGCTTTTTCCAAATAATTCTGGCATTCACATTGGCAGAAATGCAGAGCAAAGGCTCCAGGACAATTTAAAGGCTGAAATAAACCTTTTTACTGGCTGGAATTTGCATTGGTGGAGATTTGCCTTAATGCAGTAGGGTTTGAAAAGGGCTGCAAAGGAAGCTTTTGACATCTCCATCTGCCACCAAGGACTGTCATTGTGAAATGAATAATAAGAAAGCTCATTTCTAATGTGATGGGGGCTAATACATTTATTGCTGCTTTAAATGATCAGATTAATGTGGATCTGTGCAAACTGTACCACAAGGACAAAAACAATTTACTCAAGATCATTTTATTTTATTTTTTTATAATAAAATTCTTTAATGAAGCTAAAGGTTCCCTGCTGTGACCTTATTATGTTTTCTAACATCAGTAGGAAACAGATTATGTTGAATTGAAAGCAAGCTCATGAAACAGCAGGAATTTTGCAAGGGAAGATCAATTACATATTTTCCCCCCCTCCAAATACTGAATGTGGAATCAGGACAGGGCTGAAGAAAAGTCTGCATACACTTGGTGTTAAAATGAACTGCATTGCCAAATGATGTCATAAGTCAAGTCAATCAACCTGT